TCCAATGCGGAAAAAGTTCCTCCAATTTAGTTTGTAAGAACACTGTCGTCTTTCGAATTCTTCCATGAACTGTTCTGATAATTCTTGTCCTTGTTGACTGAGTTCGTTCCAAACATTCGATGTTTCTCGTGGCTTGAGAATTGGATTGATCAGCTGCTGATTCTGAGCCAGTACTTCTAATGCCGCATTAATTCTATCAATTTCAAGTTTGCTTATTAATCCGCCTTTGAATTCAATAATCTTTAGATTAAGTGAATCGGACTTACACGGGGCAATCAATAATCTCCCGTCTACCCTTTTTTCTGTCACGTCACTTCTTTGTAGCAACAAACTCGCAGCTAGAGTAGGATTTTCCAATGACAACTACTCGATTAATAGTAACAAATTGTTTCGATTTTCATAATTCCATCTTTCCAGAATATCAAATGGTATTCCCCACTTCCACTGGCATTCGCTTTTTGCTTCCACTTGTATTATAAAAATATAAAGCATGAATACTGATAAAAGTGAGACCACTAGGTTACTCACACTTATACCTTTTGATTGAAGTTTTCGTTTCGTGCTGCTTCTAGTTCGAATTGCAATGGGTTCCTGGGATTTCCCTGTATCTTGTTCAGTTTCCAGGATTTTTGTGCTTTCCTTATTATTAAGTTCGAGATGGTCGTCTTCATCTTCAACTTCAAGGGGATACAGGACATTTATTGGACGGTCAAGAAGTTTCCCAGTGGGAGTTTCTAGTTGTACGTTCCTAACTTCACCGTCTTTATCGATTTTGACATCCTTGATTCTCTTGGTATTCGCTTAGGAGAACAATCTCTCCTTTCCTTAGAGTTCTTTTTTGTGCTCCCTTGGGAGCGGTAATTTCCCTTTGTATACGTTCTCGGAGGCTTGTTAAATATTCAGTTCTCCAAATTTCCCAAAAAACGTCGAGAATTTTAAGAGTGCTTTCCCAATATTTGACGAGCCTTTCTCTGGTATCTAATCTGTGAGGGGTAAATTCTTCTTGTGTATTCCTATCGTTAATCATGGGTAGATGGAGTGAAGCATTAGGTAAGATGAAATCGATGGGGCGTATAATAATGCAATCGCCAAAATTGGCATAGGTCGAGAATTGAATATACTTTCTCCTTCCGTATTAGTGTTAGCAATTCTCTTTCCTCTAGAAATTTTCTGCCATTGGCCCTTTTTAATGCATTTTTCGTTAGCCCAATCAGTCTCTCATAGATCCCTCCTTGTCAAGGAGCCTTCGGTACGATATTTTTCCAAATTATTCTTCCTTTCGCTAAAAAGTTGGAAACAGCGACTTGTGACATAATTGTTCTAAATGCCTGAAATTGAATGGCATTGTCGCTCAGGATTAATTCGGGATATCCGCGTTTTACAATAAATCTCCGAATAGCGTGCAAGAAAGTTTCTGCGGATTGGTCCCCTGCTAATTCGAGACGCATAGCCCTTGTTGTAAAGCATGTGAATAATATTACCTACCTTTTTGTTGACATATTATTACCTTTAATCAAGAGTGGGCCAAAGTAATCCACACCAACATGTGCAAAGGGCCTAGATCGGATGATGCGAGTTTCAGGAAGACTTGCCACCGGCGGTAGTTTGAACGATGTGGAGTTCCAACGCTTACAGACACGACATCTGTTTATCATTCGTTTGACTTCAGTTCTTCCTTTAGGAATCCAGAATCTGCTCCTCAATTCTGAAAGTGTATGTGAGATGCCTGCATGGCATAAGTTATCATGTTGTTGTAATATAAGAAGTTCCGTTATTGGATTGTGTCAAGGGAAATAAATAGGGTGTTTACTAGCTTCAGGTAGCTCTGAATTCTCCAGTCGACTGCTGGATCTCCATAATTTGTCATCTTTCATGTAGAATAAATTTCACTTGTTTATTTCATCGTCGTTAATTCCTTCAGATTGCGCTTGTCTAATTAACAGCCACTCTAACAGTTTATAGTCCTCTGCTGTAAACCGATTTCTTTCCGTTGGAACAGACTGTAACCATGATAACTTATCTTTAGTTGTTAATCGAATAAATTTAAGGGTCCATGCTGTTGTCCGTAATAATCTTAGCCACTTACTAAAACGTCCAGCATCAATAAATTTGAGGTTATGATCCTCACGCATTCGCGAGACTTCTGCTATGGTAATTTTCTTTAATTCGTTATCATTGTCGAAATCATATTTCCATTGTGGCCAACTAGTTTTTTCTTGTACTAGCCACGAGGACCCATGCCACCATTGCATGAAACCTCTGAGTTGTTCGGATTAAGACCCTTTGTTGCTGCATCTACGGGGTTTTCTTCTGATGTGATATAACGAAAGGTAAACTTCGTTTTACGTATTTCATCGACTCGATTTTGAACAAATCTTGGTAATAGATTAGAATGATTTTTTATCCAATGTAATGCACATCTGGAATCTGACCATAAGATTACCTTTATATTGGCGAGGTTCAGTTGTGTTATGACGAATTGTGCCGCTCGTGTTCCGATGAGTATAGCCATTAGTTCTAGACGCGTATTGTCATTCCTTTGATAGGAGCAATGCGAGACTACGCGAATATAAGCGATGATTTTGTTCCATGCATTTCCTGACTCATATAAGTACACTGCTGCTGAATATGCTACTTGAGGCATCAATGAACACGTGCATTCTAATTAAATCTATGAAAGTTGTGACAAATCGCGGTGCGTCATTTACAACCATTGCCCATCCGGCAATAAGAGACTACCATAGCTTATGATCTTGCTCCTCTAATATTTGATCCCAAGATTTGTTTTCTTTCCACAGGTGTTGTAGAAATATTTTAAATTTTACCATTACCGGGACTAGAAATCCTAGTGGGTCGTATTGTGATGCGACGAATTGTAAGATTGTCCATTTCATTAATTCTGGTCCAGTCCATGGTTTTAATTTTACTTGAATGGTATCTTGGCAGGGATTCCATGGAATACCGAGGATTTTCGTGTTTTTTCTCACTGCCCAATCTTCATGAGGGAATCTTACATGGAATTCTTCGTCGTTAGATAAGAATTCCCTTAAATTCATTGATGCTTCATTGAAGATGGATTTCATTTTCGCATATTTTTCTAATGCGTCCTGTATTCCATTTGATGATACAATAACATTGTCCACACAGAGGTTTTTCTTTATTTCTGATGCTAATTTGCTATTATGATTTTCTAAATGATAGTTCAGAGTAGCGGATAGCAAAAATGGGAATGATATTATACCGAACAGGATCCTCCTAAAGCGGTAGCACTTTATACTCTCGTTAGATACTCTTCCTTCCACTTAGCCAAAGGAATCGAGTACAATTTCTTTCTGAAGGATGTAATTCTATTTGTAAAAATGCCTTTTCAATATCAGCTGTAATTACTCCTCTCATCATCCTAAAACGTAATAATACTACAAGATCTGGGAGATTAAGTGGTCCTCGATGTAATACCTCATTTAAACTTTTCATTCCCTTTATGTGCGCTGAAGCATCATAAACAATTCTTAATTTCGTGGTAATCTTTCCTGGAGTATGAACATCATGATGTGGCAGGTAATGAATGATTCCATCTTGATTCATATATGGTTGTACTTCTTCAATTATGCCAGAACGTAGTTGATCTTGTATTACTTTATCATATTCTTGTAATTCCTCTTTATGGAATTGAAATCGCCCTATCAACATTCGTAAACGGTTAACGCATAATCCGTAATTATAGCTCAATTTGCCTTTGCATGGTTTCCACCGCTAACGTACTTCATATCTCCCACTTTGTCTGGTAACCATCTTCTTGAATTGTTCCAGTGCTTGTTCATCATCTTGT